CCGGGTCGCTCCAGATCGCTCTCGACAGACGACCCACTGGCTTTAAGGCCCGAGTCCAAGTATAATCACTCAGCTCGCGATTCCAGCCCCTGCCTGGGTCACTCCACATCGCTCTCGACAGGTGACCCGACCGACACCAAGGCCCGAGTCCGAGTATAATCACTCAGCTCACGATTCTAGCCCCTGCCCGGGTCACTCCAGATCGCTCTCGATAGGTGACCCGATCGGCACCAAGGCCCGAGCCTGAGTATAATCACTCGGCTCGTGATTCCAACTCCTACTCGGGTCGCTCCAAATAACTCTCGACGGGCGACCCACTGGCACCGAAACCTGAGCACGAGCATAGTCGCTCGGCCTGCAGGTTAGGCTCCTGCCCGGGTCGCTCCAGATCGCTCTCGATAGGCAACTCGTTGGCACCAAAACCTAAGCATGAGCATAACCATTCGGCCCACAGGTCTGGATCCGATTCCTCGTGGTCGATCCGATGCCCGAGTTGCATCTCGAATGACCTAACGCCCGAGTCATACCTCGCAGTCGAATCCAATGCCCGAGCCGCATCTCGAACAACCTAATGCCCGAGTCATACCTTGCGATCGATCTGATGCCCGAGCCTCATCTCGAACAACCTGACACCCGAGTCATACCTTACGGCTGACTCCGATGCCCAAGCCCTATCTCGAACAACCTAACCCCTGAGTCATACCTCGCGGTCGATCCGATGCCCGAGTCACATCTCGAACAACCCTGCTCCCGAGTCACACCTCACGGTCGACCCGACTCCCCACCCCGTCCGACGCATGAGTCGTTCCACATTGATCCACGATTCGTAGCTCTAACTGGGTCACCTCGGTTCGCTCGCCGACTCGCAAAATCGGGGTCCGTAACTTCGAACTGCGCCAAACCGATTATCCGATCGACCAAGACGATAGGTCCCAACTGCCCGACCAGCAGAGTCAATCCTGCCCGAGGCATGGGGCATTACCCCTCCGATCGCCCCATGACGAGTCTATTCCATTTTTCCCTCCTAAGCGATTAGCACCCCTCCAACTCTAGCATGCCTCTTGGCCCGTTAAAGACCCCACGACACGCCTTGGCGGGGTGGAGAAGTGATACGGTATATTTTGGCGGTTTGAATACGACACAACACGCCAAGTCAGAGCCTTACGCTACACGTCCTATCCCGGGAGCTCGTACCAAGGAGATATGCCACACGTCCCGTCCCGGGAGCTCGTACCAAGAAGATATGCCACACATCCCATCTCGGGAGCTCGGGCCGGTGTCGTCTGACGCCGCTCTACACGTCCCGGAACGACAGCCGGTTAGAAGGGCCGTCCCATCCCTCGGGTGTCGACGGCGATGCCGAATCGACGCACCATCAACCCTCGCGCCATAGTATAAAACCCTTGGCCGGCCTTCGGCCGGAGGGGAGGAGGAGAAAACAAAAAGGGAAAAAGCAAAAGCAATCCCTCTCGTTACTAACTTGTTCGTCGGAGGGGCCACAGTCGGGAACCACCCCCCGACGGAGGTCATTTTTTCAGGAGGGCGACCACTTATTGACGGGAGGGACTCGGCATGGGAGCGTTGGCCGCTCAGCAATGTGGAGTTGTTAATCGACCCCGATCTCGACCAACGCCAATAGCACTTCTTCCTAAGGGCTCGACCACCTTATCATCCAGATTACTTCACAGTAGGCTCTCGATATTAACCCATGAATTTAGTCATGTTGACTCATCGATCATGATATATTTGTTCACTAATAATAATAGTTCTAAGTTAGAAGAAAACGATGAGGGCATTCATTTACGAGGAGTTGCAGCTCCTCAACTTACAAGTCGCTCAGAGACACATGGCAATGTTGCCACAGCTTACAGTGGATCGGCGCAGTCACGATCAAACCAATCCACCAACTGTTCTCCACATCTTCTGAAGGAGGTGAGATGCACAACTGTTGTGCCTACAGAGCCAGTACGTACCGTGATTCACAGGTGTGCAGATCACACTAAAAGCATGCATGGTTTATTCTCTCTTGCCTTGGGCTGCAGAATTGGATTGGCTTTTTTGCGCCATGCTTCGATCAGAGTACTGCTGTCAGATATCGCCCATAGAAATAGCAGGATGAAGCCAATCTGCTACAGCTGACGAGAGTACACCAGTCCTTGATGTGGCTGCAGTCTCCAGGCCTGCTGCTGCAGCATACATATATATCGGCTGCAGATTAACCTAATAAGATCATAGGATGCATCTCAAGATACGCTGGTCTTTATGCATCGACGAGATTGATCCACCTACAGAGAGAGAGAGAGAGAGAGAGAGACAGAGAGAGAGCAGATCTGATATATATATTATCTGATTTTTTTATATCCTCATAATTGTAGGGTTATTCTTAGCCATCTCTCAGCTTATATGTGGCCGAGGGAAGAATATGCCTCGAGACTAACACATAAACGACTTGATTACCATATTATTAATATTACCCATATTACGAGAGTGGACCTCGACTGTTCCATAGCGGTGCCAAGATCACCTTGGAGAGTGGGATGCCGTCATGATATCTCTGTAAGATGAAGCCCCCGTGAGGCTTGATTTCTAGTACTATGATGAAACCCCGTCGTTCTGGTTCAAGACCCCAAAGGAGGTTAGCTATCATTTTCTGGTCACGGTTCTACTTTGCCACTGTGGTTGCTCTAAGCCAAGATGGGATAGTCTCTGGCACCGCAAAGCTATTGATAAAAGAGAGCCCGCTTGAATCACTAATCCATCGACTCATTCCCCTGTTCCAGAGGAGAGCACCACCGAGAAAGGAAGATAGGGAGATCCCTTCACCCTCTCCTCGTCCAACTCGCACGACTCTGTTTGTTATAACCCAGCAGCCACTGACTTGAGTACTGGAGAAAGATGATCGGGTGACTTTCGTCGATGCCTCCCTTGATTTTGCACCAGGAATTCTTTCCGAGGATTGGCCTCGTGCCCTTTATTATACCATGCTAGAGCGTGATAGATCTTGTTGATGAGCTCGTCACGTAATCGGTTCATGTTGTGTCAATCGAAAACGTTCAGACGGATCTGATGAGCTCCATCCACTCCCATATGGTCACCTAATGAGTGAGGTACCCAAACTCCACCCTCCTTCACGCCTCATACATACTACATTTTCTTAACAATATCTATATTTATCAATCAAACCATCGATAGATTATAATGGTCACACAAATGTTCTCCATAACTCCAAGCTATAATGACAACATCAAGAAACGATTGGTCACACCAGAGTCCACAGTATGAAGAAACCAAGCCCCAAGCTCACGTGCATGCAGTACACCAACCGGGGCGGACCCCACCGTGCAGTGTACGTGGCAGCAGCGTCACTGGAAGCGGTAGACACCATGGGCGGCCACGAAGCAACAGGCTCTGCTGCCTTCTCGCCCGCTCAAACCAGCCGCCCGTGACTGCAGGCGAAGGCGAGGAGGCCACCACCAGTTCATGTCCAACGCCAGCGGCGTGGGGACAACCAAGCTTGTGTCCCAGAATCCATGACGCCGCCAGGGAAGAACACCCTTTTAACCTGGCTAAGGTGGTATTCCCTGGGGGGAATTCTGGAATGATCTGTGCCTCTTGGCTCTTCTTGTTCATGATGTTTAGGGGTTTGGGGGGAAAAGTGCAACTGTTGGTGGATGCCTTATGTTCTCAAGCAGCGGCATGTGAGTTGGAGGAACGAAGGAAGCCATGAATTAAGCTTCATTGTTGGAGTCGGAGAAGTATGGAGTTGCTTTGGCGAGTACTACAAACTACCTACCGAACTCTATTAATTATTATGTTTACATACAAAACCAGCCATTCTCCATGAATGATTGCTCCTTGATACTCTTCTGTTTTTTTTTTTTAATTAACACAAGGATAGATAAGGATTGATTTGCCGAGAAAAAGAATCATGTGAGATCAAAATTGAAATAGAACTAAGAATAACCAACTTAAAAGTATTTATATCGGACCAGCATGAATGATGATGATTCGTGATCAAGTTTCACTAAGATTAGAGTCGATTTTGAAGGATATCATTATTCACTGCTTATCATTTGTAGAAAAAAAAAATGAATTTAATATCTTCATCAGTCATATCAGGATAAAAAAAAATCAAAATTTACAATAAAAAAATTATCGATATTTAACCATGAATGATGATTCCTGACCAAGTTTCACTGTGATTCGACTTTTTATTTATACCTAAAGCATTAGTCTAATAATCTACTAAATCAAAAAAGTTAAGGATTCAAAACTTTTTAATTGATAAATATTTTAACTAACTATTATTGATAGATAGTAAACACGGAAAATTTCGTCTTCATCTTTTATTATTAAATTTAATATCTTAATGAGTAATGTTTGGATCAGATAGAAGAAAAGTTTTATCCTGACCATAGCAATGGCTTTAGTCTTCATCTCAAGCACAATCTAAGCCGATTGGTGATGGTGACAATAGTCCTCCACGGTGTGCATGCCCGGAAATCATGAATTGTGTCTTGTGACCTTACCTGCACCTATTGTCATGTTCATGTCTCCTATAGTAATAATAAGAGCCATAGGCTGTTGTTTATTGAGTATAGACCAAATATAACGGAGTGAATTACGATGTAGAAAGACCAACATGTCATTATTGGCTTGCAAAACTAGGCAACCAATTTTGTCTTCATCCAATACCAACCTCTTCTCTTTTATCTTACACTACGTGGACATGAGTCCCCATAGAACCTTGGCTCAGATTGAAATCTTATTACCAGTGTCGGTATGCTAATGTATTGATCACCATGAGCAATAATAATAAACCACTAAAGATATCGGAGCTAATTGTGCTCATAAAATGTGCCTCTAGTTTTTTCTTTCACAAATAAAAGTGTTTTTGTTCCTTCATTTTTAATTTCAAGCATCTACCTTTTGAATTTTTTTTTTTAGTTTCCGAAATGTAAGTTTGGATATCCTCAATCACACAAGTTGCAGAAAAAAGAAAAATGCAGTTTAGATGGTTCAAGTTGCAGCAAATGTACAATAAAGTGTCTTGGTTTTAGTAAAGCCTGATGAATTCTATATAAGTTTGCTCTCCTTGAGTTCGAGTTGCACCAAAAGCCACTCTGCTCCAGTTTGCATTTTCTACTGTTGTTATCACCCTTGAACAGATATCGAAGGAAGAGAAAAGCCAACAAATAGAGACATGGGGGGAAGTTGCAGCATAAACAAACCTTGAAAGACTTACTTTAATGCATGCAGATTCACGAGACCAGCAGAATTCACGAGCTCCACAGCACCAGAAGACGGCTCCAAATCATGTGCATTCATGGCGGTCAGCATCATCTCCTCCGGTCTTAAATGGAATTTGTAGCGCAGTGAATCAGACTATGAATCAGAAAACACACTGTAAGTTTCAGCAGAAGTTAAATCCTTTATAAGTTCACAAGATTGTTGAGCGATGCATGTTTGAAATTATACTTCAGCAATACAAATGGAGATCAAACACAGATGGTCCTTTGGAACTAATTTTGGTACCATCTCCTTCTAATGATTTCTCAAAGTACAAGAGGAAAGACCATTTGTATACTACTATCATATCATATTATTCTAAGTGATCTGGTTTTATTTTTTTTCTTTTAATCTCACCGAGGACCCAGGATGTTGCATTTTTGTCACTGTCATCTCTGGATTTATGCTGAATTGTCACGATTATATTTCTTCACTAGGAATCTGGATTTCTCTTGAGCTGTATCTCAGATTAGCAGGAGTCTTGGGCATGACTGGAGATAAATAATAAGTTTGGAAATGAACTTTTTCATGTTTGCCTATTAACAAAGAAATGAATGGCCTCGAAGTTCCAGTATATATGTGAGCATTGCAAATATGCTAATCTTAATCTAAAGCCAATAAAACTCTTAAACACTAGGTACAATTTTGAAATTCCTATTACATAATAACTGAGCTGAACTATGCCAATAAAAATTATGAGAAACCAAGTCCACATTTATTAGTTTTATCATAATGATAACATTCAAATGCCCCAGAGGAATTTCAGGCATGAGTCAGAATATAACTTAGCTATATTTTCTTCTCATTTAGAAAAAAAATAAAAAGTTACCACTAATTGATATGTGAATTTGAAAAGCAAAACAAAAGGGCATAAACCTGTAACACTTTTAACTTCCTTGTGAGGGCAGTTCAATGATTAGTACTAGTCTCTAGGTCCCAACTTTTATTTCCTCTGTCAGGGTCCCCCAAGACTTCACAGTGCGATGTATATGTTAAATCTAATACACTAGAAGAATGGAGATTGTACTTGGAAGGGTTGTAACCGCTTCAGGGTACATTGTGTTATATTGATTGAACTAACATTGAGAGGTTCTTCTGAGTGTAGAACTTCATATGCATATGTTAAATTGGCACTTCAATCCATTCTTTTTTACTGTACCATGGAAGAGCAATTTAATCAGTACTAGATGCTGATATAAATTGGCCTTCGTCTAGATCTCATTCCAGGGGAATGCAAGAGTTATTGGTTAGCAATATATGATCTATTTGGAATCTTAGTAGCTTCATTCAGCTCACAAGAATTTTGTTGGTCGTGTTACAGGCTACTATTTGTCGAAATGTAAGCATGGTGGTAATGGTGATCAGCATGTGAGGGGCACACATATTGTATTATAATTTGTGCATAGATAAAAATGTACAACGCCAAAATGACAGTTTGACATGCATTTATGAAATCTCAGAATGGAACATAGCAAATTAACAAAAAAGCTGATCCAGATCAGAAATTTCAACCAGCTCAGAAACCCTTTAAACCCATGGAGAGCTTTTGAAATACCATTTGTCATCCTTTGGCAATTTACTAATAATGGCTATGCAAAGAATAGGACCACCGAAGACAATTATTTGTCATGGTTATTATATGACAAATGCTCCTCATGATCTGCTTAATCCAATGCTGATTCTATTTCATCAACAGATGGTTTCAAAATGCTCATCTACCCTCAATCATTCAGCATAAATCTACTGCTCTAACCAGAATCAAATGGCCAAGACAAGTTTGCTCTTGAGATCACTCACCAATGGATGATGCTATATTTGTCGAATGGAAGAAATGGAATACTGACCTTTGGTGGTACCATGGTTGGAGGAATGATAGGTAACATTAAGGCAGGGGCCCCTTCTCCCTCTTGTTTTGCTCCTCTTCTCTATCTGGCAGTTGCCTCCCATAGTGGACAAAGCAGTATACTCCCGCCCGTGACCGGCTGCATGTGATCAGGAGGAGCTGCTACTGTCACTGCCCCTCTTCGACCCCTTCACGTGCCCCCCTTTGGCTTTTGCATCCGCAAACTACAACCTACGTACCATAATTAAAATACTTATGAATACAGCAAAAAGCACTCCCACACACACCTCATGTTGCATCCTAACATCTCTTCACTGTGATGCTGTGCATGTTTGCAGAGGCTGATAGGATAGAGTTATCCCTACGGATTGTCACAAGATGTGTGGATGATTCCCCCTGGGCGCAAAAAAAAAAAAAAAAAAGAGAAAAATTATTAGTGCACAAGGTTGGAAGACAAGAATGTGACTGGTGATGACAAAGAAGAAAAAGTTTGAGTAGGACATTTTACATTCCTTGCAATTATCAGGCTTTCTCTCTATTGGTTTGTGCAGGCAGTGGGTGGGAGGGGGGTGGTGAGAGAGAGAGAGAGAGAGAGAGAGAGAGAGCAGGGGCTTGTGGCTATTTAAACCAGCCTTCCCTCCTCCCTCTTCTCACCACGAGCTCACCTCAGCATCCACTTGTTGTCTCCCCTCTCTCAGATGGCTGGATGTAGGCTGACATGCTTTGGGTTGCTCCTCCTTGTCCTTCTTCTGGTGTGCTCGAACTTTGATGGCTGTGAGGGGAGGAAAGGAAAACATTGGAGTCTGAAGAAGCCTTCTTATTCCTCCTTGGCCAGAAAGAAGGGAAGAGGAAAGCATGGTGGTGGCCACAGCCATGGCGGTGGAGGAGGAGGTCACCAGAGTCCCGCTCCGAGCCCCAAGCCAAGCCCGCCGCCGAAAACAGGGTATACGACGAAGGCAGCAGCCACGTTCGACGTGCTTGATTTCGGAGCCAAGGGAGACGGTGTCACAGATGACACAAAGGTGGCCATTGTTGCCTTCTCCTCTGATCCTTGTTTCTGCTTACTGAAACTAATCCATGTTACCACTCATTACGAACCCACCATTGCTCTGTTTTAATGCATTAAACACATCTCCATCTTCAACTACATGGTTCATTCTGCATTCCTAGTTTTCTTTGGTTGAAGAGAGACAATAACACCATAATCAAATCATCAGGAACAAAACTGTTTTTTTCCTTAATTCTTTTTTGTTTCTTTCACCTACTAAAATTTCTTATGTGATCGTTGGAGAACTAAAACAAACAGCTGAGTTATGGAAGTTGGTGTATAGACTTATGTGTACTTCTTCTAATGCTATCTAGATCCAGCTTGTAAACAGAATACCTGGTGGGCAAGGAGTTGATGCTCATGGATCTGACATCATGAACTGCTAATGCAGGCTTTCCAGGCTGCATGGGCTGCCGCTTGCAAGGTGGGAGGATCAACTATGGTTGTTCCTGAAGAATATGAGTTCCTTGTAGGGCCCATCTCCTTCTCTGGACCTTATTGTCAACCCAACATAGTTTTCCAGGTAACCTCAAAACTCAGCTATAGAAACACAAATTTTCAGCACAGAAACACAATGGTTTTGCTAGAAACAGTTGGCTACAATATATTCTTTTGCTAAGGGTGGCAATTGGGTTTGATCATGTTCCAGTATGTTGGTCTAGGTTGTGCCCGACCACAACTCGAAAGATCTGAAACACAGATATCAGGACCCAAATTTACATGTCCAGAGTCAGATTGCCATTGCATTCAGATAGAGTCCAAGCATATGTATCTGTATTAATTTGCACAGGTTGTGCCTGACCACCACTTGAAAGATTTGATACATAGGTTTCCAGACCCTAAACCTCATGTCCGGAGTCAGATTGTAATCACATTCAGATATAGGAGCTGATCAGTTTGTGAGCCATAAAACCACCACTGCAACATAAGCTACCTGTTATAGAAGCAAAACAACACAAAAAAGTTTAATCGAGTTTACCCTTTTCTCCAACAAAAATATTTAACAAAAAAAAGAAGAAAAAAATCATTCTGTAGAAAATGTAACACACATGAAGCAGACAATGAACTGTATCCTGAAGAATTGCACACACTCTCTTGCAGCTGGATGGGATGATTATTGCTCCAACTGATGCCAGATACTGGGGATCTGGGCTACTGTGGTGGATTGAATTCACAAAGCTTAGAGGAATAACAATTCAAGGCAGTGGAGTAATTGAAGGGCGAGGCAGTGTCTGGTGGACAAATGGCGAGTCTGATGTTGATCCGGTAAGCCTCATGACCATCTACCTCCATCATAAATATATAAGAAGATCTCCCTGAAATTATGGAAACATTATCCAATTCTGCTACCAATCTCATGATTTCTTATCCATTAATCATGGGAACAAGCTGATCCATGTTCATTTTCTGTTTCAAGAATTCCTGTCAGCTTAAGAAATAATTATAGTGACACTAAATATTGAACTAGAACTCCACACTTTCATCCTCCGGTGTTTTCACAATCGAATCTCATTCTAGCAATAACTCTCATATTCATCAGATGTTCCTATGGTTAAAAGAATCATAGTGCACTCATACTGGATTTCCATTCCTAATGATGAAATCTTTGACAGATAAATGAGGAGCTCAGTAAAAATCTGCCGCAGATCAAGCCAACTGTAAGATTCTATTCTTTACCTTGCTGCCACAAAATAAGCAATGCCCAAGACAATATGAATAACATTTTGAATCCATGTTCTTATCTAATCCTGTTTTGCAGGCTTTGAGGTTCTATGGGAGTTACAATGTGACAGTAACTGGCATCACAATCCAGAATAGTCAACAGTGCCACCTCAAGTTTGATAATTGTGAAGCTGTCCAGGTCTTCAATATGACAATTGCTTCACCAGGCAGCAGCCTCAACACAGATGGAATACATCTTCAAAATTCTCGAGATGTTATGATACATCATACCAACATGAGCTGCGGTATGGTCGACTAGCTTGTTCAGGGAGTTCCTTTCTGATGACATACAGAATAATTATTCTGGCAACTGTTCGCTCTCATAAGAATATGAGATCATAGATCAAATTGGCTTCATTTTTTTTTCGAACAATTTTAGTCCTTCCCTGTTCTAATAACAGCTCAGGTTTTTTGCAACTCCTCATGCTGTTAGGCATCATCACTCCTCATGCTGTTAGGCATCATCTTTCTAGATGTTTATTTAATATACAATAATGACCTAAGAATTAGGATTTTTCCACTGGTGGGAGACCATTTCCTCTCCCCACTCTTTCACCTGCAAGAAGAGAAAAGGAAATATTGAGAAAGAAAGTACATTACGTTTACCATTCATATAAACAAAATTATCTAGCACTTACATCATGCTGCACTTATAAATTAATGTAAATCATTTTGCCAATGTAATGGATTTTGTGTTTCTTATAATATAGGTGATGACTGCATCTCCATCCAAACAGGGTGCTCAAACATTAACATACACAGAGTAGACTGTGGGCCCGGCCATGGAATCAGCATAGGAGGCCTTGGAAGAGACAACACCAAAGCATGTGTTTCTAACATAACAGTAAGGGATGTCAATATGCACAACACCATGACCGGTGTCAGAATCAAGACCTGGCAGGTAACATGCTCGAGCAGCTCCAGGAAAGTTATGATTATTTAAACACTTCAAAATTTTGTCAGATAGGCTTCTTAAAAAAGGCTTGTTCTCTTCTGTCAAGAATTTACAGTTGACATAGCATGATAGCAACAATAATCCAAATTCTTTATGCTACCAATACACTTCTTAGAATAGCTACTTTCTTCAGGCCTTAAGCTACATGGATGTACTAATGGTTATCTGCATACATATTGTATCATTCCAGGGTGGATCAGGCTCTGTCCAGAACATAATTTTCTCAAACATAGGAGTATCAGAGGTTCAAACTCCAATTGTCATAGACCAATTTTACTGTGACAGAAGCTCATGCAAGAACCAGACATCAGCAGTGACACTGTCAGGCATTGCATATGAGAATATCAGAGGTACCTACACAGTTAAACCAGTGCACTTTGCTTGCAGCGATGCCTCTCCATGTTCAGACATCAGCCTAACCAAGATTCAGCTTGAACCACTACAAGAGCATTATCACATGTATCAACCATTCTGCTGGCAGGCCTTTGGTGAACTGTACACCCCAACTGTTCCTCCAATTGTCTGCTTGCAGAATGGAAAACCAACAAGCAACCACATCTTGTCTGACCGTGACTTATGCTGATACCACCATGGTCAAGAATTACTGGTGCACATACATGTGTGGTCGTTTAATACTTGTGACCCCTTCGCACCATTACAAGTAAATATCTATATTGTCCAGTTAGCATATTATTACAAGAGTTTATATTAATTTCCTAATGAAGGGATTATACATACACTGTTGCTCGCTGAACTGGTGCTCTGCATATACTGATACATGGACATAGGCCATGCTGAGAGCAGTTCCCACATAATGGAGTGAATATGGATCACTAGTACAATATGATTTGGATTTTGAGAAGCACGCAACAGCCCTGCTAGTTATTTATTATTACATAAGAACCATTTGAAAAATTACATACATACTAAGCCTTTGTTTCTGAACATTTCTGTGACTGCTAAAATTAAGGGTTTTGACAATAAAGGCAGTAGGAAACATACTAAGGCATGCAAAATCTTATCCAAGCAACAAACAAATCAGAAATGAAAGTTCCAGAGGTTGTGTAATCAGCTATGTGCTTTGGAGAAAATGAATGAACAGGTGGTTCAGTAATCAGCTATGTGATTTGGAGATTTACACACATTTATCATCATATGAAAAACAACGTGCCAAATCTTTCCATGATAGATCAACACGAATTAACATAACTCCAAAATGAAAAGATCTAAAGATTTGATGATTTGATCTCACATTACACTAAAGGCGAAATGAAATTGTGGTTTCTGCAATATTTGATAGCTCCCACAGATAGATGAGCTATATATATTACGCATACATGTCATAAGAGTCTCATGATCACCATAAAGTACTGAAGTGAGGAACTGAACTTTTTACCTGAGCTTCTAAATGTGCAAATAAATATGAAAAAATATTACAAAAAAAGTTGCAAGTTTTTGACATCTGAAGCAGAAGACAGGGTCTCCATGAGTTCGTTAAATCTTTTAATTTACAGGCTGCTGAAATTTTTTTTTTTAAATAATCAAAGTGCTAGGACTCTACGGAATAGTCCTGCATCAAGTGCAGATTTGATGCAGCCTAAAAATCTAGATTAGGGTCCTACAAGTCTATCTATAAAACGATATCCTGTTTGAGTTTGAAATTGAACCAAGTTATATGTTTGTTTTTGCTGATTCTCTTGGCTCTGCTATTTTAAAGGAATTTGTTTAAGACTTCCACTGTTTTCAACTTGAAGGAATTTTAGTGCTGCTCGGCAGCTTATCTACTAAGATTTAAATAGGACTTGGAAGTAAAACAACTGTGGCTACTTAAATGCTTTGTAACTTCCAAGTCTACCAAGTATCAACATGAATAAATTAGGATACTTTTTTGGTCTTCAACCAAGAGATCTTACTCATTGGATAGTTATTACTAGTTCAGAATCCAAACGAATTGCAAAAGCATAACCAATATCATATAATATCTTGTTTGAACACCAAATAGCTTAAAAAAACTCCAGAGTTCTCATTCTTTCCACATTCTCCCAAATTAACAGCCAGATATACAATATAGTGGAATCCAACCAAGTTTTGCGCCTTGTAACATTGGGCATATGTGATGCAATTTAGCTTACTGATTTCGAGCATGACAAAACCAAGACAAGGATGACATACTTGTAAATGACATTAAACATCTAACCAGCTAAGGAATTATCATCCGACGTTTTCATGCGCTTGTTCCTCGACCTCAAGACGCGTTAGGATTCTCCGCGATCTTCAACGGCGGCTCGAAGCACGAAATCACCAGCTAAGGAATCCCATTTCTTGCTAGAGAAGAAAAAGAAGCAAGAAACGGGGGAATTTCTTACGAAAAAGCGACGCCGTCGACCGTAGAGGGAGACGTCCATGCCGGAGAATCGCGAGCTAGGGTTAGAGTTTGGACGGAGAAGCAACGCAGCGATCATTGTGTCGCACCAGAGCAGCCTGACTCGGTCTGGTCGAGCCCGGATTCGACATTCCCATTTATATAACCAATGCTTTTACACATCTATCCTTTTAAGATTTCTAAATGACGTATTTGCCCCTGTGTGCTATGCATGCAGATGGAGCAAATAAAATGAATGCATTCAGAAAAATATTTAATAAAATAATAAAAAGGTTATTTAAAAAACATTGTTTTAATTTTCCTTTTCATATAAGATCCTTTTTATTAATTGTACGACTTAACACGAGGGGAGAGGGGCTAAATAAAGAAACTATAATCTAAGGGCTTTTAAGCAAAATTTCAATGCCGGTGACCGATCGCCGTGTCGTCTGTCGCAGTACAGGATTTGCTGTAGAACTCGAAATAAGTTTAACCAATGAGTTGTCGACGCGTCCAATAAATAACACCTAGTGTTGTCGACGAATCTACGTGGTTGTCAATTATTGGTCTATATATTATCATCTATTCTAAGACTTCAAGCGGATTCCGCGTCGTCTACTTCGCCGCCCCTTTTCCCTCTTCGTCCCCCACCTATAAATAAACCAAGTGAAGACCCATCGCGATCGAGAAGCCGGGTGGGAGAAGGCAATCGAGATGCTAAGCTTTGCGGGGAAGAGGCTGTTAGGGTTAGGGCATCGGGTCTCGGCCGCCGCCGTGGCGGGGCGGGGTTACCACGAGAGGGTGGTGGACCACTACGACAACCCCCGGAACGTCGGGTCCTTCGACAAGAACGACCCGTCGGTGGGGACGGGGCTTGTGGGCGCGCCGGCCTGCGGCGACGTGATGAAGCTCCAGATCAGGGTGGATGAGGAGTCCGGGAAGATCGTCGACGCCTGCTTTAAGACCTTCGGCTGCGGCTCCGCCATCGCCTCCTCATCTGTCGGTTGGTACCTTCGCATCTCTCCCGATTCCCTCTTACTGTACTGATTTCCCCTTGATTGAACTGCTTGTGTTTGCAAATTTCGATTTGGCTGTTGTTCTTGAATTATTAGGTACTCCTCGTGGACTTGAATTTAGACTCTGATGAATTTTTCTGGAGTATTGTTTTGGGGAAGTTGTTTTTGTTTCCTTAATTGTGTTTGATGTGGTTGTGGGGTTGTGGAAAACGGTTTAATTGAACTAAAAGCTACTTGAAATTTCCTTCTTTTTGGGAACCCTCGATACAAAGAGGTAAAGTTCAAGGATTTGGACTGTGTTTTTGCTTTTAGTGTCTTTTGGGAACTAGCTAAGGTGGATGAAATGTGTAATTGAGGAATTGAGGTTCGTGTTATGGGTGATGGATGGCTCCTTTATTCATTTAGGTACAACAACAGTGTTATTTGGTTTTTGAGAATTTTGTGGCCTCAAAAGCTGGGAATTGAAGAGTCAGTTCCATCTTCCGCTGAGTTCCTGCTGTTTTCAGCTTGTTAGAAATGGTATTTCTTCTGCTGGTTTGTCCTAATAAAGAGAGTAGCAGGTTGGACATGTTCTGGCTTCTATGGTCCGTCATGGCATCTGATGGCATGGTGTGGCCTGTCTGCATCATCTGATTGTCCAAATTTGTGGAAATGGATTACACTTGTTGCGTGGTTTGGTTTCTCTAGGGCAGTTTATTTCGGTGAAGCTTGTGTTAGCAAGGATTGCTGAGCCAGTTGCTATATGCCGTGTCCAAAAGATAGCAACGCTCTGTGTGATGAAACATCAATCCTTTTTCCTGACCCTCAATAAGTTATCTTAAATTCTTTATGAGTTATCTGAAAACTCGAGCACGCACTATTTAAAAAACAGTACTCACTCCTTTAAAAATTAGTTGTTTTTTCTTTTTTTGATAAGTGGCTTAATGGGTGGTTTTGTACTAAGCCAAGTGCAGGCATTTCAACTTTTTTTTTATCAAGTTAAGCCTCTCTGTTGCCAGCATAAAGTTATTGAATTATGCATTCTTTACGTTTGTTGACTAAAATTTCTGTCTAAAATTGCTGAATTTTGCATTTGTTTCAGCTACTGAATGGGTGAAAGGGAAGAAAATGGAAGAAGTGCTATCCATTAAGAACACGTAAGCAAATTTCCTTTCTTGTGTTTCTTTTATGTAATTGAACTCTGTGTGTGCCTCCCACTATATCGTTCATGTTTATTTCCTCTATCATTCTTCTGTTATAGATGTTCTCTGGTCTTGAATATTGATTCATCCTTTTCACTTTTTGCTTACTTTTGTCCTTCTCTTGATGTTGAAATTTATGGTTCTGAATCCTGATTTCTCATTTACTCCCTTTCTTGAACCTTTTATTTTTCCTCTTTTTTGCCTTCTATGATGTGCTTAAATATGTTTGAAGTACATAAATCGTTGTTTAAATTTGCTGTGGATGTAGTAGCTAATAACTTGGCACATGTTGCTGTTTGCATCCCTTGATTTATGTCACTGACATGGTTGTTAATCACTTGGTTATGATGTCACTGTAATGAGTTCTCTCTTAGATGCTCTCTTAGAACTTCTATGGTTAATAACATATTTATGAACCTTTTATAGCATCATGATTATTTCAAATTGTTTGCAACTGTTAATTAAAGTATGTTATAGAATTGTCATTTAACAATAGATGAAAGCAACATAGGTTATTGGGTGAACTTGAAAGTAAGGTAAGTCATGCTTACAAACAGATTCTAAGAAAAAAATCCAAACTGTATCATCAAAGTATAGACACTTAAAAGCCTAGATTAGCACATGGTGGGTTGGGGTGTTACCTTCACCAATAGGTTCATACTTTTTGCTTTGTAGTATTGCTACTCTGTGGGTCAAGTTCAGGTCAGGCTCATTGGATAGTGATGAACAATTTAAGAATACTTCAAGAATTCAATATAAACTAAATGAACTGGATATATTAGCAAGATGGAAAAGGATTTTTTCCTTATTTGATGGAAAGAGCTGTTATCTGTTAGGAATCCATTGGATGGTTAAATTTTCCATCTCTCTTTCTTGGCTGAAATCAAGATGGAGTAAGTCTAGTTTTGTCATTGGAAGTGAATTCTAGGTTACTTTGTCTCCTCTTTGTTCATCTCCATCCTTCTTTATCTAATATCCATAACACTTGGTGTCTTTGAATATTATTATT